CGCGACGGTGGGGTGCTTGGGCTGCCGGGCGGGCTGCTCCGGCGGCGCCGGCTCGGTCGCGACGGCGGCGGACCGCTCGGCCGTGGCGCCGTGCACCAGCGCCCGGTGTCGGCGCAGGTTGGTGCGCGTCCGGAAGGCGGCCGCGCAGCCCGGCAGGCCGCACTGCAACGCGGCGCGGTGAGCCGAGGTCAGCGGCGCGCAGGGCCTCTCAGGCCGCCCCGGGATCGCCCATCCACGCACACACACACCACCCCGCCGGCTCACTGCGCTCGGGCGGCCGGCACGGCGTGATCGCTTCTGACTGTGACGCTGCTGAGATCACGGACCCGAGATGAGTGGCACACCGCCATATTCCCAGCACGCGCCGGCGGACAACGGAACTGTGGTCCCAAGCTCAGATCGTAAGCCGTGACGGCTCAGTAGCGGCATCCGCCACCGGCATAACCGAGGAACCGAGGGCCGCGGTTTGTGGGTGATTTAACACGGCGAGGCAACAACGACTGGAATCGCGTCGCACACTAGGGAGGCAAGCAGCGAGCGGCATCCCTGCACCCACCTGCAGGGTGGCCTTCTCATGGGTGGCCCGGTGACGGTTCAGCTTGCCCCGTTCGAAGAACTGCCACGTACATCCCTCCTTGTCACACTGGAACCGGGCACAGCGTTCTCAGTAAACCACGCACAGCCCTCCTTGTCGCACTGCAACCGGGCGCAGCGTTCCTAGTAAACCACGCACAGCCCTCCTTGTCGCGCTGAAACCACGCACAGCGCTCTCAGTAAACAGCACACAGCCTTCCTGGTCGCACTGCAACCACGCACAGCGTTCTCAGGAAGCCACGCACAACCCTCCTTGTCACGCTGGAACCGGGCACAGCGTTCTCAGTAAACCACGCACAGCCCTCTTTGACGTACTACAACCAAGCACAGCGTTCTCAGTAAACAATGCACAGCCCTCCTTGTCACACTGGAACCACGCACAGCGCTCTCAGTAAACCACGCACAGCCCTCCTTGTCGCACTGCAACCGCGCGCAGCGTTCTCAGGAAGTCACGCACAGCCCTCCTTGTCGCACCGGAACCGCGCACGGCGTTCTCAGTACGCCATGCACAGCGCGTATGGATCTGTGCACACGCCGACGAAACCCACCTGCCACGGACTCGTCACTTAGCCATCGATCAGGCGTGCGATGGTGGGTGGGGTTCGGACTGACCTTGTACGGCCGGTAGTTACTGTGCTTCAGAAGGTGCACCTTCAGCTGGAACAGCAGCCGGAACGCGTCGGTACAGTCGGGCCGCGGGCAGACGAAGAGGCCGCCGGCGGCGCCGCGGTCGGGCCGCACCTCCACCCGGCTCAGGTTGACGCCCAGGTGGGCGAGCGCCGCCGCCATCACCGGATCGTCCTCATCTGGTGCGGAGACAGGCGGCGCTCAGCGAAAGAAAGTCAACGCTCAGCGAGAGACAGGCGGCGCTCAGCGAGAGACAGGCGGTGCTCAGCGAGACACAGGCGGTGTTTAGCAAGAAACAGGCAGCACCCAGCGAGAGACAGGCGGGGCTCAACGAGACAGGCGGCGCCCAGCGAGGCGCGGCGCCCAGCGAGGCGCGGCGCCCAGCGAGGCGCGGCTCCGCGCAACGACAGGACAGCGCAGGCGCACCCAGCGACCGTAGATCATAGGTCCCATCACAGGCGATCGGGGCGGGCCACGCACCTGCAGCGGTGGTGTACGGCGGCTCCCTGCGCGTCCTCGCCTTGTCGTGCCCGGCAGCCAGGCCGCCGGGCCTGCCTCGGCTGGGCGGCCGCCCAGGCGCGGCGACTGGCGCCTGGGCCTCGGCCGCCGCCGACCCGTCGGCCAGTGCGCTGGCGCGACGCCGCTTCTTCTGTAGCGCACGCAGCACGCGCGACGCCTGCGTCAGATCGGCCGTCGGCAGGACGAACGCCTGCCGGCCGCGCGGCGTGGTGATGGTGATGACCGTCTTGCCGTGCTTCTTGTTAGTCACCACCGAGATCGAGGCGACGGGCGGCGGGCGCGGCGAACCCGGCGGCGCCTCCGCGACACGCGGCTTGACGTCCGGCGCCGGCGACGATCTGTCCGGCGGCGGCGATGGCGGTGGCGGAGGCGGCGGCGGCGGAGGTGGCGGCGGGGCGGACAGCGGCAGTCCGTCGTCCGGAAACAGCTCGTGGCCGGAGAGCGAGCCCAGGTCGACGGGCGTGGCCATGTCCAGGCCCAGCGTGCCGGCGCTGGTCGGACAGAGCAGGCCCAGCTCAGGGTCCTGCGACAGCTCGTGTAGCGACACGCCGCCGTCGCCGCCGACCGGCTTCATGTTGGACAGCTCGGCCAAGAAGTCCAAGTCGAACTCGAGCTCGTTACCGAACATGCTGTCTATGTCGAGGCGGTTCTCCACCACGGCCTCCTCCGAGTGGTCCGTCTGCAGCTGGCGCAGCCACGCGTCCAGGATCGTCTGCGCGCTGCCCTCTGCCGGCTCGGCGCCGCGCTCCGGCGCAGGCCGCTCGGCAGGCGTGCAGCCCAGCTCCGCGCCGGCCGGCGACAGCAGCGGGTCCATGCTGACTGCTGTGGACCAGCCAACAGTAAGATCAGGGGGCTGTTTCTGAGGGCATCAGCCTTTGTATGCTGGCAAACAATACCTGTATGTTACAAATGTGGCACTAGGCACCTGTGACATATCCAATATTACCAGTGTACTTGCTACATACAGAAACACAGTTAAAGAACAAATTGCTTCCTGACAAAAATTGGGTTAAGATAATTTATCACATATATTGATGTCTTCAGATAAGATACATAGGGTTTACATCAAAATTAGTCAGAAACTAAGGATTTTACAAGTTGTTCTAAGTTACTTGCTGCATCAAAACCATCTAACATGTTGAGTTCAGCTGGCATGACATGAATGATAATAATAATTCACAGTCATCTGCCATATGCCTAGTATGATGTGATGGAATATGTTTTAATGGTGCCCACACTGCAACTGCATAACATTTAAAAAACTGGCTTGATGCACCTCATAATTAGTTCAGCGCAGCACCCAGCCAGTTTTTGGAGACTGCTTATGGGACAGTCTGCCAAAAATCCATAAGTTGTCCCTGATGCCAATTCACATCAATAATGATAATGTGCATTGAACCATGGTCATGTGGGCTCTGAACATGGCTCACACTAGACTAAACCATATTGGAACTTACTCCCTAAATGCTATACTTTCAGGGGCACTAGAAGAATCTTACATGAGCTTACTGTGAGACATTCTTATTTCTCGTGCATTGGCTCCCTATGCACTGAAATTAGTGGTAGCTGTGCCATGAGCAGTCACATTTACAATTAGGCATTTAGATCTACTGTGCTGCCATACATACTCAAGACATTCATGAAATCCTGCTGCTACACCAGGCTGAGTTTTGCAAACTGGGCCCAGAGGGGGCACCAGTTTGTATGAATCTTTAAGCCACTGTTGGGTTCCCTCAGAAATGAAATGATGGCACTAACCACACATACAGTCATTGCCATGGGTAATGACAACTTCTGTATTAAAAGTAGACCTATGCATCAATGTCAGATAATATTTCATAATGATGAGCAATGAGCCAATTTATCTTCAATGATGCCACAAAAAAGCAATGAATGACACATCCTTCAATACGTGCACCGCGGAGTTACTTCGCATGCGTAGAGGAACCTCGAGGCTGCGTAGGATACCTCTCAGTGGGAGCGAGACCACATGAAGTGACATCCAACTGCGTGAAACATTCCTCGCGAGGCTGATACCATACCTTGTTTTGCACTTAATACTTGGAACGGACGATCACTAATCCATCTTTATGCCTCAGAAGCCACAGATCCCGCTAGGAACTATTCGTATTAACATGTGTAACAATATCCCAAGATAATAGCGTGTTTTGTCGCCAAACGTTGCCAAGGTCATAGAGAAAAGCACCTAGTACCAAAAATATATAAAAGCTACTTAAACCTATAAAACACTGAAAAACTCTCTGTAGAAGCTCACTATCCAGCCCTGAGTTCACCACTGCACGCATGGCTCTTTAACATCGCGCGCGTGGCAATGCCACTTGACAAAAGATACCAGACGAGAGTATTATAAATGACCGTTGCTGGCTGCGGCGCCTTAAACTAAAATTATGCTGAACATTGGAACAATCGTGAAAGGGGCCGGCCAGACATTTCAGCTGTGATCAGAGGTAGCCAGTAACGTGTGGCTGCTGGGCAATGAGCATGTAGCAAAAGCGTGTCTTCCACCTGATTTGGACTGCGATGCCACGCGAGGTGGCTTGCTGCTGGGGAGTTTATAAACCAAAATTATGCTTATTGCATTAACATTTATTGGTTAATCGAGTTTATGAACACGGTCTCCAAAAACCGTCACTAAACACAGTACCACAGAGGTATTGAGTGTTTAGTATATTACCAACGGAGTAATGTCGATGGGTCCACCAGTCTTCCCCAAGCTCATGTGGCTGAGGAGTGCACATGGAGCAGAACGTGCGCCGTGTGCACAGTGCACATATATTACGGTTACGAACACTGTCATCACCCCGGAGCCACCGATAGAGCATCGACATAGCCGTCAGTGTATTTACTAGAAAATCGTAAACAGGTCCAATTGATTCAATGGAGTGTAGCCTCACCTCACACCAGCCAAACATTACTTGTATGCGCACATGCAATCAGTTTCATTGTAGTCCAATACATTATACATCCATATTTCGGCCACGAACAGCGGGACCGATCGGTGTTACGGTAGAAAGACTTAAAACCGCGCCCTTGGTTGAGCTGGCCAACATCACACAGTGGGAGCGTACATAGTCTAATTACATGAGCGCAGCACAGCCTCGCTCCAATCACCCCAGCGCGCAGCAGCACCAACCACACAGCCGTCCCGTCCGAGTACACGTGTCGGGACGGCGGGCACGCAGAGCCCGCCGCCAGACCGCCGCCGCCGGGGCCGCCGCTCCGCCAGGACACCGGCGGCCGCGGCCGCGTGCCCGACGCGCGCGGTGGTCCAGCTCAGCGGCGGGGGCCGGTCGGCTGAAGCCAGCGACTCCCCTAGGTCCGCTGCCCCGGCGGCAGCTGACTGACGTGCTCGTTCGAGTCGAGCTGCTTCAGGAGTCGGAACAGGGCGGCCGCCTCCCGGATCCGGTTGAAGTCGATGCAGAACGCCTGCACCTCGATCAGGATCGTCTGCAGGCAGGCGGCGCCCCGCGTGTCAACCGTCAGCACGTGTGCACCAGGCGCCGAACGGCGCCACGGCGCACAGGCGAACGTCAACACCGCGGTCCGCCAACACGACCCACACGCATTCCCAGGGACACAGAGGTTGCTGGCGTCAGCGGGCAAGTAAACACCACCTTCTTCTTCCGCCGGCTGGCGCATCCGACAGGTCGAATACCCCTCCCCCCCCCCCCTCACCTAGCACACACACAGGAAGTCTGTCCGCCGCAGGAAGCAAATAGCGCCGCTCGGGCTGTCCTGCATCAGCGCCAACGTTAGAGCGCGGCCTGGGGAGGGCCCACCTAGCACCCGGCACAAAAGGCGGTCACACGACCTGCAGCTGTCAGGGGCAGCCGTAGCCGAATGGGGAGAGGGAGTGTCAGAGGGCTGGCCACAGTCGGCGGGCCAACAGGGTTCACTGAGTGCAGATGTGGCGTGGAGGGGAAGAGGCGGATCCCAGCAGCAATAACTGACCCGCACTGCTATACACACGGTCACGGCGCGAGCTCACATGCACGTTGATGATCTTGTTCCTGATGAGAGACTGCAGGAAGACGCAGACGAGCCGCACAAGCCGGTTCTGCATGTAGCGGTCCTTGATGGCCTCGCAGGTGGCGATGCAGTTGGTGATGTAGAGGTGCACGAACTCGGCCGGCAGCTCAACGGCCGTGGTCAGCCTGGCGGCGGGCCGGCCGAGTCACTGATCGCGCCTGACAGCGAAGGCAGCGCGTCTAAGACAGTTAATTGCCAGATGTCTGACTGAAATGCGGGGTTGCCTAGCCTGGCCTGGCCTGGCCTGGCCTGGCCTAGCCTAAGGTAAACTAAACAAGTGCTGCTTGTGCCTGGTTTCATGCACGACCGTGGAACGAAGTAAGCAGCCACGGTTCCGCAGGACCTGTCCGTTAAGACGCACCTGTTGACCACCTCCATACTGTGCAGCGACATCTCCATGTTGACCAGCACGTTGAAGTAGTCGGTGATCTGCGGCGAGTCCATCAGCTGGAGCAGCACTTCAATGGCGATGATGGGGTTGTGCTCCACAAGGTCTGGAAGCTGAATGAAATCGAAGGCGTCAGTTCATCCCAGTGTTTCGATATTCGACCATTTCGGTGGCAGAGATGTCACTATTTTCCACGCTACTCCGCCCCGAGCTTGAGGTGCAATGACTGTTGCCCTGCCCTTGCTCAAAATCGGCCTATCAGCATCGAGCCGGGCGGCGTTCAGCCCAGCGTCTAAGAGCCTCGAGCTTGACAAACGAACCGGGCAGGCCACACGTCTGGGTTCAGGGTCAAAGGTGGACAGATAATGGCGTGCAGGGGCCACCGGAGAGCCAGGAGTCAGGTACCATGAAGTTATCTTTACATCCTGCACACCCTACTGAATGAATTTGGGGGCGCTGGTTCATGCGGGCCAAGACGAGCGATCAAGCGCCAGGGGCCGGTCCATCCAGATCAGATGAGCACAACACCCGGCACGGACGCCGGAGGTGCCGTCGCGCTCACTGGTGCCGCTATCATCAACGTGACAGCTCACGACACCCACAAAACAGTGGTCTGTCGCCCCACCTGTCTACAGCCAGCCAGTATCGCGCACACGACACCCATAAGGCCTGTCCTGAAATCAGAACTTCACACGACTACTGCAGCGCACACGCTGCAGGCTCACGGCAAGAGGAGACACCTGACACACCTCTCAGCAAACACATCCGGGGAACCTGCATCGACCTTTGACGTGGCTGATTCTAAACGATTGGCTTGCAGGTTCAATCCCTTCACGCCCGTTGACTGAGTCCTGTGACCAATGGGCGGTCCGCTGACTCCCCGCACCGGTGAACACCGCGGGGCGGGCCTAGTCAGCGACGGCAGCGGCATGCCTCACCTTGGCCGGCGTGACGCCGACCTGGTAGACGGTCTTGAGGTCGCGCTTCAGCTGGCTGATGAGCTGGTTCTGCTGCTGCAGCGTCAGCGGGCCGTGCACGGCCAGTGCCATCAGCTGGCGCGCCTCGCCCACGCCGGCCGGCGCCGTCAGCAGGCTCGGGTCGTACGCCACCTGGTGCTCGTGCGGCTCGCTAGGCACCATGTACACCATCTGCAACACCATACGCACCCCGTCTGCGCTGGTGATGGTGATAAATGGAGCGTGATGGCACTTCGGCCTGCACCCCGTCGTCTACACTGACCGACTTATTCGAGGGACATACAAACACATTTTGGGATAACGCTGTGACTTTTAGTCATGGTAGCGTTTTTGCTACCTCCAGATTGTTTGGGCCTCATGTAATTAACGATCGAAACATTGCAGGGACACCTAAAAAGCCCGAGCTCCATAAGACAGCACGCGTTAAATCAGCACCACCCCGCACCGCACGCACCACACGCTATACCTCCGGCTCCTATTTGCGCACGTCACACCGGACACCTGCGGGCGGCGGCAGAGCGGCCAGAAAGTCAGAGCGTGCGGCAGTAGCCAGGCGACAGAGCGGTCAGACGGCACGCACCTCATCCTGGCAGTTGTGCAGCGGCGGCGGCAGTCGCAGGAACTCGGGCGACACGCACTGCTGGGCGTACGGCGTCGGTCCGCCCAGCACGCCCTCCGCCGTGCGTCGGGTCACGTTCTGTTCGGAGTACGCCCTGCGCAGCACGCACACCCCGTTAGCGCGCGTCTAAACGGACCAGCAGACCTCGCGGGCGACGCAACAGCCGTGTCCACCGCGACATGTGCCCACTTCGACAGGTCGGTACCACCGTAACGCCTTACCACAGGCCCATGATCGACAGATGATGTGAATGCAACCCACAGCCAATCAACATCCTCAGTTTTTGTCTGCTTAAAGCAGTGCGCCACGACATGGTAGCAGTACAGCAACAATGCAATGAAAGCCCAGTGGCAGCCCAGTTTACTGTCTGGCTATGCACTAGAGGACCAACCAGAAAGAGTCGGTCTCAGGGCACCCGATCCGGCTTGAGTGCACGGGTCACCGTCGCCGATACGAAAACGACACGTTTCCCACGGCCGCGTGCGGCGCCTCCACGGCCGGTGGCCGAGCGGGCCCGCCAGCGGTCACACCGCCCTCCGGCGCCGCCTCACCCGGAGGCGTCGGGTCGCAGGTCGGGGTCGGGCACCACCACGGTGACGCCGGCGCGCGCCGCCGCCGGCACGTCGGCCAGCCGCTCGCGCACCACCGCCTCCAGCTCGGCCAGGCTGGCGTCGGCGGCCGCGTGCGTCGCCGTCAAGTCCGACTGCAGCAGCTGGCTGGCCGTCTTCTTGAACAGCTGCGAAGCACGGCGGCGGCGTTACTCGGCGACGCCGGGCGCCACGTGCGCGCCACACGACGGTACACACCTCAGCAGTATCACAAAACATCCGACAGGTCTGGCACGCACCCACCTCTTTGTTTGGGTTTGTGATGAGCTGGCGCACAAAGTACTTCTCCCCGGGCGTGAACTTGGTGAATTGCGTGGCCGGATCAGCCGGCTTGCCCGGCGCCTTCGACAACTCCGTGTGCTGCTGAAAAAGCAAGAAGCATGCCAACATCCAACAGTGCTCCTGGGAGGCGTGCAAGACAGCAACTTGGACTGTTTAACTCAGGTTAGCACACATGGTTGATGGAAAATTACAACCACTCCTTTGACATGCCCTACCAATTTCATGACCCATCAATGCATTAAAACATATTTGTCAGCATCCCCCCAAAAATTAACAAAAAACATAGCCAAAAGTGGATCTATAGAGACAAAATGTGGCTGTTGAGGGGGGGGGGGGAGGGGGGAGCACTGCAGAAGATGTCACACCATGCCCTAGTGGTGAACAATGCCACCTCCACAATGAGACAGTCCAAGACAACACCATGAGTTGGAGCCTGGGGATTCGGCTGATGATCTGTGGTCAAGAATGCTTCTCTGATGCACTGAGGCAACAGCTCAGAGTCAGCACCACCAGGCAAAACATCAGCACTGCTGCCAGAGTTGTCACACAATAGCTGGCTGACCCTCCTGTTTGTGACCTTGCTGCTATCTCAGTGCAGCATCAGGACCACTCACCATGATATGAAGAAAAACATTTGCAAAGGGGTTTCTCTTCAGAGGTTCATTTTTGTACAGAAAATACAGAATGGCTGTGGCAACTATTCTCTGCTGGGGTAGTGGCAGCATATCTGGCTGCAGCAGCAGGAAAACAAGTGCATTTCCAACTGAAAATGACACACACAGGTTGCATCAGTGACTCAGTTCATGGACATCCTATTTCAGTGGCAGAAACACAGGTGTTTTCATTTGGCAGAAAACAAACATGACATGATATAACCCTTGGGCTATCACAAGGCTCAGTCTAACTATTTTTTACTTACATGGCCTTGAATATGTTAACAATATTTGGATTTGGCCATACTAGAAAAATATTTTGCATACAAATTAAAACTCATTTTCACTCAAATTATCAATAATACAATCTGCCAAAATGATAACCCTACCTTTGAAGTGGTCTTGCTTTGAAAATGTTGAGCAGCATTGTGATGCCAAGACTTCCACTGACTGCTGCTCAGTTGTGTCTTCAGAAAGGAGCCTGTAAGGAATCATTGTGACACAGTTATTAACAAAATAACTGCAATCCATGGAGATGATGCATTGATATCTTATTCATATGACATTTATTCCTGGAAAAACAGCTTGAACATAAGATATGGGCCTACAAATTGTTGCTCTACATCCTGTAGTCTTTTGTGCTTGTAGCCTGGTTGGTACAATCAAGCATTTCAAACAACAAAAGCAACACACAATACCAAATCCCCAAATGTGCTTATCACTACAACTTTCAGTGTCAGCCCACAACTGGCCAAGCCAGTCAGGCTGACACAAGGTTATGCTAACTATGTTTCAATCCATGGCGTAATAATATTGACATTTTTCACAACTCTATTACATTCCTTTCCTGAAAAGGTATGATGAAATCTTTTGCCACCAGTTATGCTTGGCAAAGGCTTGGCCTGTCCTTGGAATTTTTGGCAGCATATTTTACCTTTTTTAAAACATAGGTCCCTGCAGCAGGCAATGGGAATCAGCATCCCAAGCCTACCACATTACTGCAGCATATCTATTGTCATCCATGCCAATGTCATAGCATGATCAGCCATGGACCTCATATGCCATGGGCCAGCATGCCAACAATACATGCTACACTGAACATGCCAGATGTAGTGGTGACAATCCAGAACCACTTCACTACATCAAAAACATGAATATGAGAGCCCATGTATAATACACTGTACACAAGTTTAGACAATGGTGTATAACAATAGTGGCATATGTTTGAAATGGCTATGAGAGGTAAGGATGAATTTAGGGAAACATATGCCCAAAACATTTTTAAGAAGCAAAAATAATACATAAATACTGTGCAATTTGGCCTGACCTACATTCTGCATGCATATACTCAACATTCAGCAAACCAGCATGGCATAAGGGTCCAGCACAATACCGTTGCTACTCCGTAATGGACTGGGGGTAAATCCCGCAAAAGATATTCTCTGTTCATGGTCTTCAGTCCACAACATTGACAGCCTTTTGGTTCACCTTACCCCAGAAGGGACGATATATCCTTTGTTGAGAGTGCCATGCCGACCACGATCCATAAACATCAAAAAGAATTGAGGCTAGCTACACCAGTGCTGCATCAATGATTTAAGCCACCATAGATTATTCCACGGTCCTGATTATTCATTGCAAGTGCGGAAATGCGCCACGCTATCGCAGCACCCAAGAAAGCGAAGAACAAAATCGCATCGCACATCACGGCGCATGTGAGACGTTAAAAGTTGACGCTGCATGAACGCCAAGACCAAATAATAAATTGTGTTATAATTGTGTTAAATACGAGTTACTAGTAACATAGTGTGTGAGGCTTGGGCGACTCAAAACGTCCCCAACAGGCGGACTGCTCTGGTCGGATATAGGCTGAATAGGTGCGATCGCTCGAGCAGCCACGAGCTTGCCAAGGTGCGCAGGAAAGCTCCGCAGGTTGCATAAGGGCTGCTTTTGTTCCAGCATGAAGACGGCTCAGGTGCTCGTCGGTCGTGAGAACGTGCAGTGTCAGCTCCAGCACATGTTGGCGAACGATCCAGGGGCTACGTTGGCGGTAGCCACGCTTCTGGACATCGTTGCGACAAATCAACCCCGTCAAGTGGCGCGTGCCGTGACTACAACTGTGCCGTGCTTCGCTACACCGGCAAGATCGAACGGACCGGCCACACCGCTTTACGTCGACTAATGCGGAGAATGCCCGGAGGGTTTCGATCAGCAGCTGTTTGGCTTCGACTGGGGCCTCGTTTTCCCGTCACGGCAGTCCGCCGAAAATCGTAAAGATCCTCCTACCACAGCTCGATACTTTCGCCTCCCCCCACACTCACCCCAGCACCTGCAGATTCGACTCCCGCAGCACTGCCTATCTGTACTGCAGAACGACAGCTGCCCGGAAGCACCCGGTAAACGTCCCAGCCTGGCGGCCATCGTGACCATTGCGGGACACTGAACCGGCAGTGCCGCGCGGCCGTGCGGAGAGGCCAGGCGGCTCACCCGCAGAGAGGCTCGACAAAGCGGGGCCAAGCAGCGTCTCGGGAGTATTGCGGCCCATCACAAGGAACAAGACAGATATTTCAGCAGCCAGTGTTTCAGCAGGTGCCTTAAATGACTACCAATGTCAGCAGCGGCTCCATCACTGCCTGAAAAAGATTGGGCTCCCTCGAAGTAAATGTGATGGCTAAATATGTGGGCCAAATAGGGCAGTTTTGTTCTTTTCTTTTACAAATTCGAAGCTGTGAAGGTCACTGATCTTCACAGCAACCAAACTGACCGTGAAATGATTTCATCGGTTAGTTGCCGAATCCATAGACACAAAACAATGCACTCGGGTGAACAATAGCGTCGAGAGCAATCACACGGCATCACAACCTGCTCAAGTCGATCTTCATCGTCATTCTCTGGAATGAGCGAGAGGTTGAAGGGAGTGTTTCACATTTGTATGGGTTTCAAACTGAAATCACCACCTGGAAGATTCCCCAGTGCAATTCACAGCATCGCTCTTCTTTAGACCTAATACCCTCTAGTTTCTTAGCTAAACGCCCGCGAAGATGTGCAGACTGTTTCGCACTTACTATTTTAAGACCATCCAGGCATCCATGACACCATAATAACGCCATTCAAATCCTGCCACGCCATTGGTGATGAAGTGATCAAGGCCAATAAAAAACATTGTCGCGTCGTTCACATGTGACATTCGTGGGAACGGTTTCCAGGTAAAGGGGCCGTCAATCGGTCCTCAATCAATGTTGTGCAAGTACGATGGCGCAATCAAACAATGCCGTAATAAGGAGTACATTTACAAGATATAGCAATTGTGTTGTCTAGAGCAGTCCTACGCACTGAAAAGTATGCTAATAACTAAAAGTGGGCCTATTTCATCGTACATGATGCTTGTTTCAATATCTTCAATTGTGGGACATTTCCTTCGAAATGCCGTAGATCCATGGGCGTGGCGAATGCAAACGGAATTGAAAGTTGGTGCGAGGTGAACAAGGTCAATGGGCACGAAAGGAAAACATGCAATCTCACATTCAAACTGAAGAAAGCAAGTGTGTCTCCCAGTCGACCGCGAACAGGAGGGTAGCGTATCAGGCTAAAAAGAGCGCAAAGAGAAGCATTTCTGTAGATGAAGTTGAAACATTGACGCCGTAGCAGATGCGGCTGATCTGTCAACATACGGAGCTACAAGTTGGTCGGCACCATTACCAACGAGGTGGTTCACAATTAATGTGGGGTTTATCCATTCCACCACCTCCCGCTGAAACTACGAAAATGCTGCCACTCCCTGGGAGCAGCATCCTCTGGGAACAAGGACCAGGTCTTGACGCAAAATTTAACGGATTTGTGGGACGTCGCTAAGTGCAAGTGAAGATCCCAGCAATTCACTGGCCTGTAACCACTGCCGATGCGTTCTGTCCACGCTCAGCGCTGCTCACGACTCCCACCTGGCGACATCCCCTTTCGGCCAAAAACTTCTTCGATTGCATGGCTGTAGGTACAGCTGTTTCATCCATGCTGTGGATGCGAGTGAGCCCATACTCATGCTTTGCCCCCATGCTAGCCAAATTGTCGAAAGATACTTTCGAAAAGCGTCTATGCGCGATATGCCAGTTGATTGTGGTGCTCATATCGAAGTATCTGGGAGTCGTCGTAAAAGCTCTCTCATCGACTCCCGGTCCGCCATATTCGCAGACTTGTCGAATGGATGGTTGATTTCCATGGACTTGACTACAGCGTCCTTCCCGTTTTCGTTAGCCGAGAAAGTCTCCCAATGGAGTTTCTGATTTTGCGGTGCGCATGATCTCGCAAGGGTAACTCCACTCCCCAACTTTGAGAGTGCGCCAAATCCGTGGAGAGGCGCAGTTATGGGCGTATTTTGGTGGAAGGTCGAATGATTTTGCATGATTAAGGGACCAATTATCTTGCGAAACTGTATCCTTAGATAGAAAAAGTTGGGGGCTGCACAAACAAAAACCATCGCTTGAAGTAATAATTCAGTTATGTTAATGATCCTGCTCGGCTGACTAACTCGTATGCTTTGACAGTATCTAACGCTACCAAAGTATGTTTGCACAAACTAATTTCGAGCAAACTATTTGACTGAATATATCTATCATTCAAGTGTTTGTGATTGCAAGGCATGTATATGCAATCTACATCTGTTTACCCACACTGTATGGTTGTAGCTGAAGGCATACATTTTCGTACTTTTCGTTTTGCGCACCACCCGTCCATGAGCGGTGAGGCTGCCCGGCGGAGCGTGGGACTGCGACCAAGGCGGCCATGGTCTGGAGCTCCCCCGCCTCACCAAACATGACCGAAACACAGCCGATAGGCCGAGAGATAGAGATGTTTTTGAGATGTTTGGTGCTCCGCCCGAGAACCCCGCACGCCGGCCTCGCCGACGTCCCAGCTGGCATCAGAAGCGTCACGCCACGTGAGAACTGGGCGAGAGGGGACGCGCAGGGGCCGCCCGAGGCGAAGCAGGAAGAGAGCGGGCGGGTCTTGCACCGTCACCGGCGACGCCTTGCCCGAGGTCTGACCCAGCGGCACGTTGGGGGCAGAGCCCTGGAAGGAGGGCAGGCCGGTCCGACAACACACTGGACGGAGGAGGCTCGGCGGCAAAACTATTGGACTGCGAGAAAACGGGACGAGCCGACCCAGCTTAAAGAGACATTCCGGAAAAGTCTTCCAGCAGCTTCCAGGAGAGTCTCCCATGGGAGTCCAGAGCGGGGAGCGCTGAGGAGAAGTGACGGCGTCCACCTGACGGTGGCGTTGGCACCGACAACGGCGGCACCGACGGCGACATGCACGCATCAGTCTACAGGCTGCTGTCCCCATTCTTCCCGGACCATTGGCGGCTGGCGCTCCAAACGCGGCCCTTGACCCCTCCTCAGCGTACGGGCGCGGGGCACGGATGCCTATCCCCTCCCGTGTAGCTGGGGAAAGGGGGAGGGGAGGTGCACTCGCCATGCGACCCTCCCGGCCGGCGATGTGTCTCTGGCGTACTCTCTCATGATTAAGGAAGGGAGATGCCCATCTAAAAAATTAACCTGATGTGCAGAAAACGCAGGGGTGTGATTTCGAAATCAGCTGCGTGGCACTGGTAACAGCGGGAAGGGGTAGCAGGGAGCTTGCATAAAAAGAGAGAAGCCTATACATCACGAACATAACACGACGTCTTTGCCTGTTTTCCTCATTTCCTTCGCACAATTTTGAAGTGCGTCGAGTGCGAGGCGCTGGGAGAATTTCTTGCCTGATCATGTGCTGTGTCTTTTCCAGGAAAAAAAACGGCCGCTGCTCGACAAAACTTATTCCGGCAAAAGCCGATGATGCCGCTTCGGCAGCAAATATTCTGCCACAAGCGGTCACTATCTTATCAATACCACTTTGGAACTGAACTGGCAACAACGGCATTCCATACGCCGTTTTGAAGGGTGTTGGGACGGAACCAGCTTTAATACCTAATCGTGAAGCAAGCCAAAACTGCCGCCAAGGTGAGCCCATTGACCGAAAGAGTAAATCCTGATTCACAACATCGTTTTACAAGCGTGCCTATTTGGCGAAAACCGCGATGTGAACAGTGCAGAAAAAGAGTTATGGGGTCTTACCATGACTAATGAAGTCTTGGGTGGGCATTACTTCCGCCTCCCATTCCCAAAGTTCGCCACGACACACGGCTACCATGACGGCGGTCACCCGTCCAAGCGTGTACCGGCGGGAAGTGCAGCTGGGCTCAGTGAGCTTTTACGTGACACCTCTCCCTCGGAGTCATTCAATTTCATTCAAGTCAGTCAATTCGGTCAATCAAGTCATTCAACACATTCAAAGGGTGGAATTCATGCGGCTTTAGCCAATCCCTTCACTTCATCAGGTTCTGGTGCAGTGCATCACCGCAACGGTACTGGATGTAATGCGGGAATCCTGTGGTCATGAAAACCACGTTGGGTTGAAATCTCACAGACACCATCATGGGCAGCGGCATGAAGAGCCCATAAGTCGTAATTTAATAACAAAGCTAAGGGAAAGCCAAGTGAACATGTACGGCGTGCAGGTGAAACAACTGTTAACTTAGTTTGTCAGTGCAAACTAACGCCAATAGCTCATTGATACGCTAGGTGCTGTATACGCAGGGTTTGTGGGGTTTGTTAGTCCATTCGCAGTACATGGGTAC